GCCAGCAGTCTCGCATACCAATGGCCAGAAAAAATGCATAGGCTGAGTGCAGTTCTGTTTTCCAAATCTAATTGCAGTAAAGTAGTCTGAGTAAATGTTGTTGCAATAAATGTTAATCACCTCCAAATATAGCAGATTCCAATTTGCCTGCTTTGCATGTTGTCAACGAACTGGGCATGCATTTGGTTTTCTATTAAATATCGTGTCACTTCGTCCCCAGATGCTCGTAAAAACCCACAGTCATCTTTCTCTTAGAATATTAACCGTGGCACATTTCATTCTGCTGTGGATTTCAGTGTCCAGCACCTTTTCTAAAATGTAAAGTAATATTGCCTGTTAATTCTGACTTCTATCTTGCCTTTTTCGATTTTAATTGCAGCAGAAAATAGCCAAATTGTCTAATGTTAGAGCCCAATGGAAGCATATATTAAAGCTGTCAAACGAGATGTTCTGCTGATGCGTTAAAAACCTCTTTTGAGACTTTTCAATTAGATTGATGAGCAGAATTTGGATTGTGTTTCAGTCGGTCTTGCTGTACGTTATTGGAAAACATTTCCCACCGCAGATATTTGGAAGTTATGATGAAATAACTCTCTTCTGTAACTCGCTTTAATCTGTTTGTCTATTTTATAGCCAGTCTTGATATGTATATGTTTGTAATGCGTTTTTATCCTTTCCAGAAAGCTATTCTGTTGATCTTTGTACAGAAATGCAGGAGTCAATTCTTTCTTCTTGAAATACTCTCTTAACCAGCCAGCTTTGATTTGTCTGTCATTGTTGTTTTATATTTTTATTGAGTTTTATATTTCACTTTATTGGGATGAGTCATATCAAGTTGTTTTCCTGTGGAATAGGATAGAAATTTCTAATGTGCTTATAATTTGACTGGTGACTTACTTGGTCTCTACTGCTTCTATCTATACCACAATTCATCACAATTTCTCATTTTTTGGAGGGTTTATTTTTTGGTGTGAAATAAATTTTAATGAAATATGTATAAAAATGAGCCTATATCATGTGATACAGTAATATCCCGATTGTTAGCCGTTCAATCTACAAAGTGCAAGGACATTTTAAGCCATTGAATTTATACTACAGACATTAATATTTATTAAGGATCCATATATATGGCTACATGGACCAGATTTAAATCGCCTTGAGCTGTTCCGCATACTAACATGTGCAAATGCAACAGCCTGCAGCGTCTGTATTTTTGCTCCATTTTGTGGACATATGCACAGCTTTACATGATTTGATGGTGTCACTTGGCCTATTTTGGCATTAGATTATCAGCGTTTCAGAAAATCCACCATGGCCCAGGTGTTCTATTTCCAGCAATTTAGGCCCCCTCTTTGTAAAAAATAGTAAATGTTCAGCTCTTCGATCATTATGTATTTTCAACGTTTCAGAAGTATATGTAACATTTTAAATTTACATGCGCGCAATTCGAGGACATCCAGCATGTTTGGAGGTCCCAAGAACACGTTGGTTAGCGCATGCCGTTGATGCTCTGTGCCGTCGCTCACAGGTCAGCCCCTTCCCCCCGAGCTCACCCTGGCACAGCTCTTGGCCCTGCTACACGACCTCAAGTTGCCACAGGGATTTTGTTCCATTGACCTCACCGTCAAGCTTGGCTCAAAGGTCATTCCTGACTCCAGCCTGTCCAAGACTGATGCCTACAAACGCCTGAGGACGGAGAAAGGTGAAACCTTGAGTTTTGTGGAGAATAAAAACGTTATATGTTGTATATTATTTTAAAAGTCCCTCGACAGATTTACAGTTATAGTAATAGTTTAAATTTCTTACTGTGAATATATTTTTTCCACACAATGCCATGCATCCGCTAAAAATAATACCTTACAGCCCTTTGTCAATCTATTGCTTGATGGTCTTCCCAAGCCATGATGTTTTTTTGGCTATACTTCATCAAGCAGTTCAGCGGAGGCTGGTAAAGGTGTTGGGGGACCGGATTATATAATCACTCGCCCCTGATGTTAACCGTGATCGGGAATCCAACTCGCAACACCAAGTTCAAGACTCGGTGTGTGCCAACCAATGCACCACTGCTTCCCCGTATATTGCATAATAATGCGTTCTCATATATACCCCTGCATATTACTCTAAGCTGCTGTTTTACACTGAGCAGGGTCTATACCTTAAACAGGTCACGTCCAAGCCAGGTGTTTTAGTGTATGGACCTGGCTTGGCATTTGCAGGTGAGCTTCAGCCACGAAGAAATTAAGAGCGTGTGTGTTTGTTTGTGCAGAGCAAGGCGTGGAGCTGCCGCTGGCATGCGTAGAGGCGGAGGGGCTGCAGACTGTGGAGGAGTCCATGGACGTGGCCCTGGACGAATCTTTGCTTGAGACGGCGCCCGTGCAGTCTCCGCTGCAGGTGTTTGCGGGTCTCGGGGGCCTGGCTCTCATTGCCGAGCGGTTGCCCATGCTCTACCCAGACATCATTCAGCAGGTCAGTTCTTCAGATTGCCTCTCCAACTACTGCCCTCTTCATCCTTGCCACCAGCTGTGAGTTCCTCTCCTTCCTTATGGTAACCTGGATGTGAATCGATGTTTTTTCGACTCAATGAGTGCGAGTGCTTTGTGGGATCTTATTTGATGCGCTCCGTTGAATTTAGCTTTTTTCAGTTCAGGCTTTTTTATTTTATCACATTTCTGTATAGTTACGTAGATTATTTTCAGAAAGCATTGCACTCCTGCCTTTAGGCTTGACCCAGCTCATTTGTACTGGTATTTAATGGTGGTTACTTCTGCTATATGTGCTTTAAAAAATAAAAAAAAACACAGTGATGTTTTTTGAGCTGGCAGCCGATTTAATTGTATAATGCGATTTCTTTTCACCCAATCAAGTTGTCATTGCCACTTGCCCTTTTTTTAAAACTGTACAATATAACACTTTGAATGTGATATGGTCTTCTTGCTTAAAATTGCAATGACATTCTCGGTTGAGTGATGAGCGCAGAACATAATAAATGGGTAAAATGAAATATTTATTTTCGCGAGCATTTTACAGATGCATACATTCTTTGCTTACTCGGCATTATTTCCAAATTGGTTATATTCCACGTTGGATCACGGTAATATGTGATATGGCGACAGCTTGGGAGACCTTCACACAGCAGCAGATAGCTCGTGGCTGCTGATGATATGCCGTGTGTAAATAGCACATTTGCGAATTGATGATATCCTGTTTCACGGGCCATTGATGTGTTGGTTAGGTTTGTTGTATTGTAAAAGGTAATCTGAACAGCAGGTGGTGTTAAAAGTCTGCCAAATTGATATATAACAAATGTAAGTATTTGAAGCATGCTTCAAATGATGGAAATTCTCCCGTCTGATGCAAAGCAAATGGTTATTCAAATGCAACATTGAGAGACCCTCAATCCTTTGAACAGATTGTTATTTCCATGTATATTGTTTTCTGAACCTTTGAACTAAGCCACGATGGCAATGCATCACACATTTAAGAAAGTATTTTTATGAAATATACTGTTTACCAATACAATCAAAACACCCACCCTCTATATATTGTTTGGTGCTTTAAATATTGTCATTGCAAAGCTGTTCGCATTTTAACCAAAACAAAAATGCATGCTATACATCTGCTTCTACATTCATCTATGAGGGGATTTGTATTTTCATGTTGTCTGACATTTAGTCTACAAAGTGCATACAAAATCAATCTGCCAGAACTGTAAGCAGCATGACATCAAACATAATAATGTTCGTTGGGTGCGATTGTATAGGGCTTGTGAAATATTAGTGTCTGTGGGTGTAAGCAGCTAAGACACTGGAAGCTAATAAGGGTGATAAAATTTTCTTTTTTTTATCAATTCAATGCATCACGCGTTTTCAATTTGAATGTTATGTTGTAAGTGTCACGGGCGGTCACTGCGCATGCTATAACCTGGCATATTGCCGCTTTAACCGAGCATTCCTATTGCTCTTTTGAACTTTTTATATCTTGGATTTTGCTGGTGCGTACTTGCACATTCGTGTTTTGTACAAACAGGTCGTGTAGGTTGGCCGTAAACCTTTTCCCGTACAGAGCGTTTATACCCTGATTACATGATGGGCTGTTTTGGTAATTACACGAAGCAGATGTCTGCTGAATGGAATGAGGCACTAATGAGATGGTATGTGATTAATATGGCATTTGCATATTCACTAGCTTGCGGATTTGTGTAAGGCTTACTTTGTGGGTTTGTTTCCATGTGGACTGTGCTGCGGTCTTCATTTTCAAAATACTTGCTCGGAGGATAGTTGTGGGCTTGCCGATGCTGTAAACGTGACCATTGTGAAATGCATTATGGATGTTTGTTGTGACTGGCCAGGTGAGCGGGCCAATGATGGCTGCATCGGGACAGGACCGTGGCACGCGGGACCCTGAGCAGTTCGAATGGGTCACATTGGAGCCGAGCGGGGAGATGGGCGGTTATGAGCCGACCGAGATCCTGGAGCCCTGCGTCGCACCCTCCACCTCGGGCTCCACCGTGGCGGTCTCCGTCGCGAAGCCTCTGCCGCGGCCGCCGTCTTTCTGCCCCATCCCTGCACATTCCCTGGCCGCGTTCGGCCTGTTCCTGCGGCTGCCCGGCTACGCCGAGGTGCTGCTCCGGGAGAGGAAGCACGCGCAGTGCCTGCTGCGCCTCGTGCTGGGCGTCACTGACGATGGCGAAGGAGGTGATCACCATATTTCCTTTGTTGTTTCCCGTTATCCTTTACAGTTTTTAATGGATGTATATCTTTCCCTCGCTCTGCTTTATTCTGAAGAGGAAAAATAGGATAGCCTAAAAAAGTAATTTATACTGTCTGATCCAGAGGATGGCTGTCCTGGTTGTTCACCTCCCGCTGACATACCGCCCACTTTAAAGCTTTTGCTCCATCTTAAAACCTCTCCCTTTTCTAGCCAAGTACACAAAGTGTTTTGTTGTATTTTTTTTTGCAGTTGTAAAGCAATTTTCCTTCAGCCAGACCAGTCTAACATTCTTATAGTTTTGAACTGACGGTAATTTATTTGTTTTAAAAGTGTTGCTGACATTCCAGTCAAAATTGTGTCATGAAAAATTAATGGTGCGATCTCTCCCCCCACAAGTGTTTTTTTTTTTAGAAAAAAAAAATTCCCAATGAACGATTTGGAGCACTTCGATGTGGTAATGGCTGGCGACGAGTTCACGGGGAGCGAGCGCGGTTGTAAGTGAAAACGCAAGTGCAATGCGTGCTGTTTCTAGGAGCCGACATCTCTCTCCCTTGCGCGTGCGTGCGCAGGCCATATCCTGCAATCGCCATCGGCGGGCGTCCTGCCCACACTGCCCTTCCACGTGCTGCGCACACTCTTCAGCGCCACGCCGCTCACGACGGACGACGGCGTGCTGCTGCGCCGCATGGCGCTGGAGATCGGCGCCGTGCACCTGCTGCTCGCGTGCCTCTCGGTGCTGTCGCACCATGCGCCGCGAGTCAGCAGCTCCAGCCTCGCGCAGGCCGAGGTGAGCTCTCAGGCCCTGTGGAGGTTAAAGTTACTTCATAATGATGAGCACATTTGGTATCAGGCTATCACAAAGGCTGCTATTAAGTCTGCCAAATAGGTTGCGATTTTGCCATCTGTTTTTACCCGAGTTACGCCTGCAGGGAATTTTCTTGTGTAGCGTATTATAAACAACATCCTATATTGCCATACTAATTAAAAATGCTTCAAGAGAAAGAATGAGTGATGTGTTGTTCAGTCAAACAAACTCACGTTAAAGACACCATAGTGATGGTGAAGGAAAATGTGGGCTTGGGCAGGTCACGTGTTGAGAAGAGACGATGACCACCGGGCAAGACAGTTGACGAATTGGCAGCCAAAGAAAAGAACACGTATCAGGGGATGACGGAAGCGGTGATGAAGCGAAGACATCCGCTCATGTGCAGGATACGAAATGATGGACTGTGTCATTGCAGGACTGAGCGATTCCAACAGTGTGGGGGGGAGGCCTTTATCCAGTAGTTGGTAGAACAAGGCTAGTGATTTACTTATTGACATGTTGTTTCGTTCCTATTATAACACACAAACTTAAAGTCAAAGGATGGCCAATAGCTAAAAGTATTTCAAGGGGTGTGTGCCTGTGGAGAGGAATCTCCATGTGTACATGGTTGCACTACCAAATGCACACGCCGTAGGTGGTCGAGTTACAAAACCGGCATCTGAAATGAGAATCGGGTGGTGCTCATCTCCATTGACAGTCCAAATCAAGTTGCAGCTATTACAAATTCCTACCAATATCACCATAAGTCCCTGCTGTGAAAGAATTGTAATTTCTTGTTCTGTTGCTGCTGCTTGGTTTCAATGCATTACAGTGCAGTAGGGTTTTAAAAAGCGTATAAACGCAACTGCATCTCCAGATGCTCTCCAAATTATTCGATTTACGTAGACGTGGTGTTTGATCCACAGTTTCCTTGGAATGGCCGTGGAAAACATCTTGTGCATAGTAGGTTTTGCGCTTCCATTTCTGTTATCCACTTTTTACAGCATGGTTTGATGTAATCTGCACCCTTAAGATCACTTAAATCGAAACCCTGATACACTCTATGTCAATGTGAAAAGGCAATTCATTACAGCTGGCAGGGTTGCACAAGTCATTGCACAAGGGTCAGAGCACCTTGTTTGTGCCAATCTCTTTGCATCTGCATGAGAAACGTGAGCTTGCACAGCCTTCCTGTCTTACAATACATTTTAGTTTTCATAAAACCCCACACTAAGAGGGATATGGGGGATGGTGGTCGAGACTAGTGGCGGAATGGCAGCCAAAGGAGGGAAACGCACCCAAGAAGAACGTTCACCATGTAGATGAGGCGATTAAATCTGCATGTGCACAGGATTGTTGAATCACAGGATTGTTGAATCACAGGATTGTTGAATCACAGAAAAAAGCTGTCTCTGGTGTGAACCAATCAGTTTCAAAGACAATGCATATATTATCAGAGTACGTTTTTTGTTTGCATTCTGACACAAGTATTGTGGTTAATGCAGACATGATTCCTTGTAAAAGGTTTCAGTTTGGTGTTTTAACATCTTAACACCTATTTTGTTGCCAGAAAAAAGGGGAAAACCTTTTCTCAATCACAAGACTGTTATAGATGGCTTGCTTGGGGAGGCCTTTGTCCAGCAGTGGGTAAAGACCATGGCTGATGACAATAATGAAAACATCGGTGGCATCTAAAGTTGATGCACTGCATCGTCTACCTTGGTTTTATTTTTGCATCTTTGCTCAGTGTCAACGTCATTGCAATTACATTGAATACTTTTCGGAGAGCCTGGATATACTAAAATGTGTAAGCAATAGAAAAAATAGAAAAAAAGTAATTTTATTTAAATTATTTGTGCTATTAAAGCATGCAGTCAGTATCTTTGATACACACCTTTAAATCTTGGAGTATCCTCCATCTGGGAAAAGAATAAAAAAAATAATTGAACAAGGATATCTTAAAATGGCTTTAGTCTTGGTTAACTCCAATTCTTATCAACGTGTCACATTTGAAACCTGAGCTGATGATACTGCTTATGCTGGTGGCACTTTTTACAGTGAACATTTGGGTCTTGTATAGCATCAGAGGGTGTGAAAGTCGGTCTGGGTCCAGTTATTCATTACCATATTTGGCAACCATAAATCTCCATCTGGGTACCATTACCCTGCTGTAAGTAATTCGGGGATTAGTGTGGAACACAGGTGATTTTTCCTTTCACTTCCCCACCACCAGTCCCTGAAGATGGAACATATTGTGATATTCGGTGCCGGTCCGCTTTGATTGAACTTTATTTCTCTGCCTCGGTTGGTGTTGATGGATATAGCGGCCTGTTTTGTGCCAAAACTCCTCTCTCTTGCTGAGGGAATGATTTATGAGATGGTGGCTTTGTAACGAGCTGCCACCGGTGTGTTTGTAAAAAAAATTTTGTCCCAATTTGGCTGGAGTTGGGCAGCCTGCAGATTCTCGGATGCTGATTATTTTAAACACTTTTTCTTTGTCAGTTCAGGCTCGATGACCGTTTAAATTGTGCTTTGGGGAAACCACATTGCTGGGAGTATTAACTGGCAATCTTGAAAATAAATTACAAGCAAACGTAGTACAAAGTTGCTAAAAACGCTGAAAAACATCAAACAAAGAACAAAAACTTTATTTAAATGGAAGTCTGCCGTTTGCATTTTTAACCAAGATTGTGTAATTCTGACTGGGAGCTTTTAAAGTGCTCAGCAAGATCAAAAGGCAAATAATGTTGGTGAAAGTTGTTTATTGAGGTTGTAGAAAGGATAATAACATCCAGGGTGTCCATTGACGTACAAAATGACAGTGTGAATGGCCAACTGTGCATGCCACGGAGAGATTAAAAGAGCAAAAAGAAAATTGTTTAGAAGCGTAGTCCTGCACGGCCCGGCTTAACCCCTACAAGACCTTGCTTGGGCAGCCCAGTGTACAGAAATGCACCATTATATGACACGCTTTTCGCACTTACTAAAACATTTACTAAGCATCTTCAAGATCACAGAGCTGTGTATTAAATATGGCAGCAGAGTCTCAGTGCTGGCACAATCGCCTCTGTCCCCGGGCTGCTGGTTTGACTCTGCTGTGTGTGGTGCAGTGAGTGGTTGGGTGTATGGGCACATATTTGCAGGGTATGCTGTCCTCAGCTTGAATGTTAATATGGCCGATCAAGTTGCCTGCTGATGGGTGTTAAGCCCAGTCTCACATACGCATTTCTGTTGGAGAAAGAGATATTTGCACTCAAAATTAAAACAAGCGACTTGCCGTCTCCTAGAGTGATTTGGCGAGCTCCAAGAAGCTTTGGGCGACAACAGAATAATGGGACATGTAACTTCCTGTGATGTGACTTCGCACAGAAAGATGTTATGATTTTGGCACGATGTTATGATATAGTCACCACTGATTGGCCCTTCTACCAGTCCATATGTTTGTCCTGCTGTTGTCACTTGAAATAATGTGCAGGGCTACATAATCTATTGACAGCGATAATACTGCAACACTTTTGGCATGTAGTATATAACGACAGAGCGACGCTCTTGAAAAAATATACGTGTGGACTGAAGCTTTTCGAGCATCGTTTCCAACTCCAGTGCTCGTGACTTGCCACAAATTGGCCTTTTTTGTGATTACCAATCTCTTGTGCTCACGCAGAAGAGATTGGTAATAATGCTAATTTGTAACGCGCACAGTTTTCACTTGCCCGAAGGCAGCGACCCTGACGCACATTGCATGCACCTGATGTTTGGTAGTGACGCAGAGTTGCAACGTGGGGGGTCGCTTGGACCTGTTGAGAACCCCAAAGCACCCTTCACCGCAGGAAGCTGGTGGTGGCTCGTTTCACCGCAAAATTAACCACAGGCTGTGGCGTGTTCCTTGGGGATGAGAACAAATGGAGCTGGCCAGTAAACAAGCCTTAACCAGATGCAGATATTTAATAAGATATTCAAGTTCATCTGGTTAACGTAATTAATGCAGATTAGTGGCGGTGCTCTATCATAAGCTGAATAACATATCGGCTGCCCATGTAAATGACCTGCAAGACGCTCAAATGATATTTTGTGTTATTAAAAAAACACAATATGGTAAGCAAATACCATTGATGAATACATTTTTATCTTTTGCAACACTTTTTAATCAAGGATCTTTATTGTTGGTGGTGATGTTGCTGATGTTTCAGCTCTTAGTGATTTGGGGTTTTTATTCAATATAATGCAGCATTGTGTGAAAAGACATAAAAATGTTGTTCGTCTTTCACATTTTATTGAATCCCAGCTATTATATGTTTTGGTTGATGTAAAAAGTTCAGCAATTCACAGGACAACTGTCATCATTCCAAGGTCATAACTCTTGTATGTCACCCTTGGAGATTGTACTGTAAACCACGAAGGAGAATTCCTCAATTGCATTGCGCCCATTGTGCTGCTGTTATGAAAGCTTGTGCACAGTACAGCCTGACAGCGTTCAAGTCATCCACCAATTGAATTGCGAAGGTCATTCAAGCAATGCTGTTCTCTTGCATAACAATACACAAAAAAACTATATGAGTGTTCTATATATTACAACTCGAATTCAGTATTCCACGTAATTTTGTTTTTCATGCTCTCACCGTTTGAAGATAATTAATGATCGTTGTGCGCCATTGCTACTTTTATACTCTGGAACATGATCTGTCTTGGGGAGAAATTACTTTGGGTAAGGAGACTGTGGACCACTCGTAGGCTGAAAGAGATTATTTTGAGAAATATGCCCTATGTTATTTATCTTTGCTCTGGTGATGCATTTGAAAAGTAAAAAATGATGCCCAAGGCAGCAATGGTGACTCTGCCATAATATGGTTCAATGTAGGTGACTCGCATACAAATGTAACTCCGCGATGCTGCATGTCCAGTGCTCTGTCGCGGCTCGTGAACATTTTGCTTTTTACCCCCCGGCCCCCACCCTGGGTCAGATGGCGACGGGCGGGGCTGGGCAGGTGGCGGCTGGCCCCGGAGACGATCAGCAGCTCTACTGGGCTAAAGGGACTGGCTTCGGCACTGGCTCCACCACCTCGGGCTGGGACGTGGAGCAGGCACTGAGCAAGCAGCGCATGGAGGAGGAGCACGTCACTTGCCTGCTTCAGGTACCGGCTGTGGGATCTGTGTGTAGCCCTTCTCTTGCGAGCGCAGTGCATAAAACCACCCACCCTGCGTTTGGACTCTGCTCTGAACCATTGCGAATTGAACCTGGTAGGTCTCTGCTTGAATCGGACTGCTTAACGTGGACATTTAATTCAGTGAGCCTATTTTATGTGGCTGACTTTTGGTGTCATCTTCACACGGGCATTCCATTTATGTGCAATTACTTAGATGATTGCACTTTCAACCCAAAGCCGTCATTCTATTAAATATGCAGAAGCAAGCCAAGCGGCATAATTGATGTCCTACTCAATGCCTGTGTGACTTTACGAATGGCTGGCCACACGTTTGTCATGGAATTACTACTTGAGTGTGACACCATATTATTTATGAATGGGGCGAGCATCCCTGAGCCCCACTTATCCTTGGTGAAAATGAAGTGAATCGGTCTCAACACAAAACGTTGTTTTTTTTCCAGAAATGGTAATGAGTTCCAAACCCCCCCTCCCCCAAAACAGTCCTCCAGTGGAACTGGCATGCTAGAAGTGGGCAGGTGGTAATGCTTGGTAGCTTTCTTGAAATGCTGCCATTCAGGATGAAGCTATTTATAATGTAATACGATCTCTTAAAGTTCAGCCAAAGTTAGTGGAACTGGCCAATTTTCAACTCTGAAGAAGTAGTTTTCCACTTGAGAAGAGCAATTTGCTTTCATTTATCATCACGAATGACAAATGTGAGCAAAGGGTTTCATGAAAGCTTTGATAATGTGTGCATTTTGCCCATGTTTTAATCATCATATGCCATGTTTTTTTTACTGCTGGATGAAGATATCCCAAAACTATGACTTATTTCTCATTGTTTGTTTTGTGTTGCAAGAATACATCTAGCTCTTGCCCACATGCTAATTTAATTGCTCTATTTCCATGCTAGATGTATTCGGACACGTTCTGCCACTGTAAATAATCCTTTCCAAACCAATGTTTATTTAGTCAATATGATGTGTCTGTATGTTCTCGAATCCTCGTGTTTCAATTTACTTTATCTCGGTGCAATTCCACGCATGCACCTGTTCATGCTTTTTCAAAAAAATGTGCAGCTTTTGTTTCTCCTGTTCCTGATGATGTTTTTAGGCTGCCCGACCTTACGAGCAAACTGGGTTATGGAATTATTCTATACCATTGACCACATGCCATCAATCAGATTGTAGTTAAGACTCATGAATATCAATCTCTCTACAAT